GAAAATTGGGGCAGATGCAGGTTGTTTACCTAAAATGTTATAATTTCCTCATTCGGAATAATTATCGATTTTTATATAATGTTAACTTAAAAAACTTTTGTAAGTATATTATTATATTTTATTCGTAATTTGACATATGAACTTTTAAAATTAAATTAAAAATTAATTAAAAATTTTTTGATTATTTTTAAAAAATCCTAATAAATCAGGGATTCAATAAATCGTTATGAAATTGACCACACATATAAATGAAAGTATAGGCTTTTTAATGAAAAACAGTATTTTATAAAATATTTTATACTTTTTGAGGTGTCAACTTTTAAATGCAACAATTGTAGTTGGTGTAACAAATTTTTTATTATTTTTTAAAAAATCAATAAAACTAAAAATGCGAAATAATTAGAAAGAAATTGTTTATGGATTATGTATTTGTGGTGTATTATTTATAATTTTTATTAACATCATTCTCATCCACAACTTTTAATTTTTGAGATAATATCATGTTGTTGTTAAATGTGCCAAATTTGAAATGTTTGGGATTTTAAATCCGCTAGGTTGGTAATAATAACAGTTAGGTTATAATCGCTTACGGATATTGTTATATTGGTTTATTACAAACAATTTTCACCAACAACATTTATTTCTAGCACTTTTAGTTTGTGAGTTACAACAAAAACTTTTATACAAAATCGTTAATTAAGGGATTTATTGATGTTATGGTTTATAACCAAAAATGCGAAATAGTTGGAATGAATTTATGGATTATGTCTTTGTGGACAAAGAGATGAAAGAGGGAACAAGGGGTTGGAATAGGTTGGGATGACTTCAAAAAGGAAGTCAGGATATTGTTCAAGACGGATAGGAGGCAAGGGGAGGTGGTAAATTATGTTATGGAAGTGTCAGGGAGGATTACAAGGTTTGGGAGGGTATATATTGGGTTGTCGTCATTGAAAATTGACGATTTCATAGACGTGAAGAGGTGACAGACACGAAACAAAAGATAGAAACTATGGGGAATACCGGCGGAGTTGGCGAAGAGAAGTATTAACTATGAGGACATAGGGAGAGAGCCGAAAGGGAGAGAGCGGATAACCGACTGTGATGGGGAAGTGAGGGAGAGGGCCGGGGAGACTTTATCAAAAAACTAGATGGGGGGGAGAAGCGACAGAAGAGAGAGGGATTGAAAATGGTATTCTGAAATGTAGCGGGGATTACGAATAAGGGAGGACAATTCTGGGAATATTTGAAAGGATTTGAGGTGATTTGTTTGGTGTAGAGCTGGGTTGACAAAGTAGCGTGGGCAAAGATTGCCAGAAGTGTTGGGTTAGATTGAGAGAAGATGGAGGCAGAAGGGAATGGTAAAAACGCAAATCAAGCTAGAGGGAGAGAAGGTGCAGATAGTCACAGTATACATATAGCAGGGTAATGAAAGAGACAATAAGGCAATGGGAAAATATGATAGAAGAGGGGAGAGAGGGATATCTGATTATCGGAGGGGACTTTAATGCATGAGTAGGGGGAAAAGGGGGAAGAGGGGAATATGTGGGGGGAGGGAGTGGGGCGACAGGTTAAGGATAAGATATTGAAATGGAGAAAGAAGGGAGATGCTGAGATGAGTGGAGGAGAGGGGATGGGAGATACTAAATGGTTATTGAATGAACTGATTGAGGTTAGGGAGTCGACATTGAAAAAAGATAGATTGGGAAGGACGGAATGGGGGGATAGGAAATGCAGAGAGGCCAAGAGAAAAGTTAGAAGGAGATTGAGACAGTGGCAGACAGGGGAGGTAGAGATAGATAGATATACAAGGTGATTCACCATCAAACTTTGACATATGATAGCTAATCCAATTACCAAAAAAAAGGTCAATTAACATATGTCCTATTTTAATTATTTACGAAATTATAACACTTTAGGGTTTTCTGTAGCTAATTTATTAATAGTCAGTCAAATCAAACATTTAACAAAAATAAAGTTGTCATTGTAATATGTCAGTTTGCTGTAAGGTTCAAAATGTACGCTTATAGCACTGAGGAGTATGCTGATATAATTTTCGTGTATGGTTTTTACAATGGAAATGCTCGACAATCAGTACGAGAATATCAAAAAAGATTTCCATAGCGTCACTTGCCATATTACTCAATTTTTAGCGATTCTTTCAGAAGACTTCGAGAAACAGGTAATCCTGCTCCAGCAAAAGCTATGTTTTACACGAGATGGTATAAATAATTACCATAATGAACATATTTGGGCATTACAAAATCCGCATGCGATTAGACCAAGGAAATTTCAACAACGTGTCAGCATCAACGTTTGGGGTGGAATATTTAACAACAATTTACTAGGTTTGCATGTACTTGATTTTTTATGAACAATACACTTTTTGATTTACTTGAAGATATACCTCTTAATGTAATTCAAAATATGTGGTACCAGCACGATGGTACCCCAGCGCGGAAGAGTGGTTAAACCAATATTTTCCAAACAAGTGAGTTGGTAATAATGGTCTATTTGCGTGGCCACCTAGATGCCCCGACCATAATCCATTGGATTTCTACTTATGGGGTCAAATGAAACAAATTGTGTATCAAGTGGAAATTAACACACGAGAATAGTTATTAAACAGAATACAAATAAGTGAAATAAGAAATCAACCAGACATTTTAATTCGGCTGAAGAACTCTTTAATTCGTCGTTGTGAAGCATGTATTCTAGGCTAGTTTGAACAATATTTGTAATATTTATGTGTTTTAAAAAAATGTAGCAGTTCATTATGATATAAAAATTAAAACTTTAAAGTGTTATAATTTTGTAAATAATTGAACTAGGACATACAGTCAGTCCCAAAAGTCATCGTACACAAATGGTTTTCGCATGATTTCCAAAACGTGATCGTAAATAAAAGAATTTTTTTATTACCATACATGTAATTATTTATTTTTAACAGATTTATAAACAGAAAACACTGCAATTTAACAAAATAACTTAATAATTCTTCAAAATCGTTCGATTGCAATCTCACAAAAGTAATCGTACATCTGAAAACCGACAGGGGTTTCCCCGTCTCTTTGTCAATTACGTGGGATTTCCCGTGCAGCTAGTCTAACCTGCCCTACATCTAGTAATCGTTGCTCTCTGTTTGTCAAAAAAGTGTCATGGCTCCCCAGAGAACGGAAACAAGTGTAGAAGTGAGAAAAATTGTTATAAAATTACATAATGAAGGTCGATCTATACGTGAAATCGCTAAAACACTTAATAAAAGTGCTTCTACAATTCAGTATATAATTAAAAGGTTTATGGATACCGGAAATATTGAAAATGCTCCGCGCACTGGCCGTCCAAAATTGTTGAAGTCAACGCAAATCCTCGGATAAGTGCCCCAAAAATAGCGGCGAACGTCCAAAACAAATTTAATAAAACCGTAAGTGCAGAAACTGTGCGAAGGGTTTTGCGTGGTGCCGGGTATAACGGACGAGTACCACGAAAGAAACCTTACATTAGCGATGTTAACAAAAAGAAACGAATCGAATTTGCAAAAATGTATAAAAATAAAGATATGGACTTTTGGAAAAGGGTCATCTTTACAGATGAATCAAAATATAACATATTTGGATGCGATGGTAGGGGTAAAATTTGGAGGAAGGCCGGTACAGCCCTAGATTTAAAAAATCTCCTACCAACAGTGAAACATGGCGGTGGATCCGTTATGGTATATATCCATGGCTGCTTCAGGAGTCGGTAGTTTAGTCTTTATTGAAAATATAATGAATAAGTGGCAATATTTAAATATTTTAAAGGCTAATTTAAAGCAAAATGCTATACAATTGTGTCTTGGAAGTAATTGGATTTTCCAACAAGACCAATACCCAAAGCATACAGCGCATGTAGTTCGCGAATGGCTTTTATATAATGTGCCCAAGCAGCTACATTCTCCTCCACAATCACCGGATATTAACCCCATAGAGCACGTGTGGGATTACTTAGAAAAATCTATTAGAATGCACAACATTAGTAGCAAGGAATCCCTAAAAGCTGCATTACAAGTAGAGTGGGATAAAATTCCGGCATCATACACTGAAAAACTTGTTCAATCTATGCCGAGAAGACTAAAAGCTGTACTTAAAGCGAACGGAGGACCAACCAAGTACTAGTACCAGCTTGGCTGCGTCTTTAATTACAACTTTTGGATCTGTACGATCACTTTTGTGACATTCCAATGGAAGAATTTTGAAGAACTATTAAGTTATTTTGTTACTTTGTTAAATTGCAGTGTTTTCTGTTTATAAATCTGTTAAAAATAAATAATTATGTGTATGGTAATAAAAAAATACTTTTTTTACGACCTCATTTTGGATATTATGCAAAAACCGTTGGTGTACGATGACTTTTGGGACTGACTGTATGTTCATTAGAACATTAGAAGAATGCAAGAAAAAGAAGAGAGGTGCTGAGAAGATTAGGAAGTTGAAAGAGGAATTATGGAGATATGCTTAAAGAGAATGAGGAAGGGAAGATAGGAAGTCAGCAAAGATATACAAATGACGGAATGGAGAACATACTTCATGGGATTTTTGGGATGGGTGGAGGAGAGAAGACTTGGAATTTGAAATGTGCTAGGTTGGTAATAAATAGCTTACAGATAATGTTGTATTTGTTGGTTTATTATAAACAATTTTGATCAACAACATTTATTTGTATCATTTTTGTTTTGTTAATTTAGTTCAGTTCAGTAAGTCAATCGTTGGCGTCGGTTTTCGTCTCCGTTTTTGGGGGGTTGCGAGGTGGCGTTTCCCTTATCCGAAAAAGGGGGGAACGTCGGCGTCGCGCCGTCGTTGCGTTTTCGGCGGCGGCCGACGTCGTCATTGCACCGACGTCGGTGCACACGTTTAACGGGGGGAATCGCGGGGAGACGGCGGGGAGCAGCGCGGGGGCGCGACGGCGCTCGAACCAAGCCGACGTCCGCGGCCGCCGTCCGAGTCACAGTCGCGACCGTACCAGTCTGCCGACGAGGGCAGGAGCAGAGCACCACGTCTCTCGCAAAAACCCGCGCGGCGTCGCCAACAACACATTACTACTTAACACTTACTTTTAACTAAAAAAAAAAAAAAAAATTATAACAGTGCAGGAGAGAAACGTGTTAGTATAAAAAAACGAAAGAAGGGAAAAAATCGGCGCCCCCGGGCAGACTACGACGAAAGATTAAAAAAAATTGTACCGACGCCGGCGTCGCCTTCGCCTTCGCCCGTGTTGGAAAAAGTGATTATTTAATTTTTTTTTAATAATTTTTTAATTATCTCCAAGTTAAATGTAATAATTGTGATCACGGGATTAACTAAAAAAAAAAATTGATAAAAACAACCCAAGTTTTTACGACGTTAACTAAAATACTTAGAACACGCTTTCAAAAAAATTGAACAAAAATAAGAAACGCAAAGTAAATTCGAAGTAATAAGGAAAACTAAAGATAATAAGGGGAAGAATAAAAACGTTTTTTTAGTGTTTAATGTACATTCCCGACGACGCCGACGACCGTCACCACTTATGCCCGCCGACGACGACCGCCAGCGTCTCAAAGCGCGTCTGCACCACCGTCGCTGCCGCCACCAACGCTGCCACCGTCGTCGTCCGAACCCAAAAAACTTCAGCTGAGGTGCGTTCGAGTCGTAGGTTAGCCACGGATTGCGTAATCAATGTCAGAAAGGTAAACATTATTTCTTAATTTCTTAATCGTAAGATTTTTCCTCAAACATAAGATGTTCTAAACATAACCCCATAAAACACTATTGATAAACAAATTTGTTGTTTCTCCGAATTATACACATAAATATAACACGAATAAGTAAAAAAGCTACTTGTTGATAACTTTGAAGCATAATCGATTAAACAAGAATTTAATAACAATCAAATCGGTATCAATTCACTGCTTGGATTTATTTTTCTTGCAACTTAATCGTGGCATAAGGCGATAAATAAAGAAATAGTTAATTTTAACTTTTAAAGTTATGGCAGAAAATAAATTTAAATCATTGATGTCACTGAGGTTCAGAAATTTATCTGATACTAATCCAGCTTTTGATGCTGATCACCTCATTCTTTCAAACTTTTCCTCAAACTTTTTGTTGTAACTTAAAAACTAAAACTGCTAGAAATAAATGTTGTTGATGAAAATTGTTTGTAATAAACCAATATAACATTATCCGTAAACGATTATAATCTGACTATATTTATTACCAACCTAGCGTATTTAAAATCCCAAACGTTTCAAATTTGACACATTTAACAACAACATGGTATTATCTCAAAAATTAAAAGTTATGGATGAGAATGATGTTAATAAAAATTGTTTATAATGCACCACAAAGACATAATCCATCAACGATTTCTATCTAACTATTTCGCATTTTTAGTTATAAACCATAAAATCCATAAATCACGTAATTAACGTTTTTGTATAAAAGTTCTTGTTGTAACTCAGAAATTAAAAGTGCTAGAAATAAATGTTGTTGATGAAAATTGTTTGTAATAAACCAATATAACATTATCCGTAAGCGATTATAATCTAACTATATTTATTACCAACCCAGCGCATTTAAAATCCCAAACATTTCAAATTTGACACATTTAACAACAATATGGTATTATCTCAAAAATTAAAAGTTATGGATGAAAATGATGTTAATAAAAATTGTTTATAATGCACCACAAAGACATAATCCATCAACGATTTCTATCTAACTATTTCGCATTTTTAGTTATAAACCATAAAATCCATAAATCACGTAATTAACGTTTTTGTATAAAAGTTCTTGTTGTAACTTAGAAACTAAAAGTGCTAGAAATAAATATTGTTGGTGAAAATTGTTTGTAATAAACCAATTTAACAATATCCGTAAGCGATTATAACGTAACTGTTATTATTACCAACCTAGCGCATTTAAAATCCCAAACATTTCAAATTTGACACTTATAACAACAATATGGTATTATCTCAAAAATTAAAAGTTATGGATGAGAATGATGTTAATAAAAATTGTTCATAATACACCACAACGACATAATCCATCAAAGATTTGTTTCTAAGTATTTCGAATTTTTGGTTATAAACCATAAAATCCATAAATCTCTTTATTGACGTTTTTGTATAAAATTTTTTGTTGTAATTTAAAAAGTAAAAGTGCTAGAAATAAATGTTGTTGGTGAAAATTGTTTGTAATAAACCAATTTAACAATATCCGTAAACGATTATAACCTAACTGTTATTATTACCAACCTAGCGCATTTAAAATCCCGAACATTTCAAATTTGACACATTTAACAACAACATAGTATTATCTCAAAAATTAAAAGTTGTGGATGAGAATGATCTTAATAAAAATTGTTCATAATACATCATGAAGACATAATCCATAAACGATTTCTTTGTAACGATTTCGAATTTTTGGTTATAGACCATAAAAGACATAAATCTCTTATTTGCCGTTTTTGCATAAAAACTTTGATTGTAACTCAGAAATTAAAAATGTTAGAAATAAATGTTGTGGGTGAAAATTGTTTGTAATAAACCAATGTAACATTATCCGTAAGCAATTCCAACCTAACTGTTATTATTACCAACCTAGCGCACTTAAAATCCCAAACGTTTCAAATTTGACACATTTAACAACAACATGGTTTTATCTCAAAAATTAAAAGTTGTGGATGAGAATGATCTGAATAAAAATTGTTTATAATACATCATAAAGACATAATCCATAAATGATTTCTGTGTAACGATTTCGAATTTTTGGTTATAAACCATAAAAGACATAAATCTCTTATTTGCCCTTTTTGCATAAAAACTTTGATTATAACTCAGAAATTAAAAATGTTAGAAATAAATGTTGTGGGTGAAAATTGTTTGTAATAAACCAATGTAACATTATCCGTAAGCGATTCCAACCTAACTATTATTATTACCAACCTAGCGCGTCAAAATCCCAAACGTTTCAAATTTGACACATTTAACAACAACATGGTTTTATCTCAAAAATTAAAAGTTGTGGATGAGAATGATCTTAATAAAAATTGTTTATAATACATCATAAAGACATAATCCATAAACGATTTCTTTGTAACGATTTCGAATTTTTGGTTATAAACCATAAAAGACATAAATCTCTTATTTGCCGTTTTTGCATAAAAACTTTGATTGTAACTCAGAAATTAAAAATGTTAGAAATAAATGTTGTGGGTGAAAATTGTTTGTAATAAACCAATATAACATTATCCGTAAGCGATTATAACCTAACTGTTATTATTACCAACCTAGCGAGTCAAAATCCCAAACGTTTCAAATTTGACACTTATAACAACAACATTATATTATCTCAAAAATTAAAAGTTGTGGATGAGAATGATCTTAATAAAAATTGTTTATTATATACCACAAAGACGTAATCCATAAACGATTTCTATCCAACTATTTCTCATTGTTAGTTATTAACCATAAAATACATAAATCTGATTACTGATGTCGATAAAATATCTGATGAGATTAACTCTATGATTGTAAATGTTAATGTTTGAGTATAATGTACGCAAATTCTGCGTTTTTAGATTATTTATTTATTCTAGATTAGTATTAATTAGATTACGGTAGCTTGGATACCGTATTAAGTAATAATTCATTATTATATTGATATAACTAGCAGAAAATGATTCAATATTTGTTCTTTATTTATTATTATTACCTACATTTTTTGATTTAATAATTTCGATTAGATCCAATTTCTTTCATTGTTTGATTTAGTATTGTTTTTTTTTAATTCGTTGATTATGGTATTCACTTTTAATAACAAAAATCATATCTCTTGTCTTATAAATATTGAAGAAATGAAATTTGCCATAAATATTCTATAAAGATTGAGCTTTAATTTAAACCTAACTTGGTGGTTATATCTTAATTAGGAATTAAGTTATGAACGTTTTAAAATTGGTGTATTTTGATAAAATTGGGTTGGGTTACTTTTATTTAAAAGATCATATCTGTTGTAGCACAAATATTGTAGAAACGAAATTTACCACAAATATTCTATAAAGATCGAGCTTTAATTTAAAACTAACTTGGTGGTTATATCTTAATTAGGAATGAAGTTATGAAGTTTTTAAAATTGGTTTAAAATTTCAACAATTTATCACTAAAACGTCAAATTTGACAGATAATTGATGTTGAAACGTCAAAGTTGGCAGATTGAAGATATTGGGAATGAAATTTTTGAAAAAATTCTTCTTTTAGAATAAAACCCATAAAAAGCAAGATATATTTATAGAGACTTGAAAATCGCAACATTAAACTTTATTTTACCTAAATTAAAATTTAATCATTCTCTTCCTGTTTGTAGTCGTTATCACGCTTCAGCCAGCTTAGTCAAAATTAATTATATCTGCGCCATACGAAATTGGTCAAAACTTTCTTGGTTTGGAACCAAGAGGAAGAATGTTTGTGGTGAATTTTTTTAAAAAAGATCGAATTATTTTTCTTTATACCCAACACCGACGGGGAATTAAGTGGCCGGTCGCGTTATGATGACATAATGGCGTACGAATTACGAAAAGCAAACGTTCTAAAAATATCGCACGCGAGAAACGCACTGCGACATTAATTTTAAAAACTTTTGAACTTGATCTTAAAGGTTAAATATAGAAACAACGAATTCAAAATTGTTCTTTAACAAATAATAATGAATAAGATTTTAAGGAAAAGTTTCTTCAAAATTAAAACAAAATCGAAGATAAAAATTTTATTCTTCCGCCTAATCCAAATCCGTATCACCTCCACGACTTCTGTTTACCATACAATTAACGTTATGCAACGCTCGAGACGGACTCGTAGCCGATTGTGTGCCGCGATAATAATTGCACGTTTGGACGAAGGGATGTGAGGGGAGAAGAGGTGAAAGCGTTGAGAGAACGAACAAGAGAGAGACGAAAACTTAACGGGAATATACAAGATGAAAAAAGATGCAAATACAGGCGTGTGCAGCACTTTGACTCTGTATAGTTGTGCTGCGTTCGGTTTCGAGCAGTTCTCTTTTGCACGCCTACGAACGTCGCGATGCCGATCTCGAGTGCGTCACGTTCTTTAATAAAAAAGAAAAAATGCAAAATCCCATTAAAAAAGGAAAACAAAGTATACTGTTTAGTTTTTGGATATTAATTAATTAATCGTTGAGAATGGGATTAGGAATTCGTTCGACAAATTGTCTTTAGCCCATATCAGACACCTATTTATTATCCTCGCATTTACATTTTAATAGTTTAAGGCAGAGTGCGGTTGGCTGACCGCAAACTCAACTCGACTTCCACGGGGTACACCGTTTATGGAAGTTAACTGCGACCATGTCTTGTTCCATTATTTTCCTATTGATTTTACGTTGCGGATCGACAGTTAATTGAAAGCTAATTAGATTAAGAAAAAGAGCTTTTACCGTACATAAACTGGTGTCATTTACACTCTACTTTTTATTTTCAAGAATTTTCAACGAACAATTCTAAAAAAAAGATGAAATTATTGTACATAATTCAAGACATTTTTTATCTGACATTCACTATAATATCTTGGCTAAGTAAATTAAATAGAAGTTAGTTGCCAAGAAGATCCAAAATAATATAGGATGCATAAAACGTTTTTGATATACAATGTTTTGACATAAATGGGTATTT